TTCTGAGTCCGGAACTGTCTTCTTTTGGGATTTCATACAAGGTAAATATCGACACGCGAACTTCTGTAAACTCTCTCTCTCAAAACGGGAAGAAACGTAATATCTTAATATCGTAATATCTTAATATCTTAATACTATTATATACTAAAGCGAGCAATGTATCTAATAGCAGCCCTAATGTATATCCTATCGTTAACCATTAAACAGTTGTTACGTTAAAAAAGCGTCTGAGTAAATCACTTCCGGTGCGCTGTCTCTCCTCCTATCTCGACTCTGATCGCTCCGTTACGCGACCGCTCGCGTGACCTAAATAACGCGGCTTCCGTGTCCGCCGAGACGCGGTGGTGTCATCCTGACAGGGCACCAAAGAGGAGCCGACCCTTCGGTCACATTTCCTTGGCAGTACTGGGCAGTGTCATGGTTAAGTCTGTGGATGTAGGATGATAATCAACGATGAACGAAGTCAGGAACTATGGTGAGGATGTTGGCACAGAAAACAGAGGGGAATGCATAGGTTATTTCAGAATGTTAAAATGATAGAAATCTGTGCTTTGTCCTTGAAATTTGAGGTATTTAAAGGATTTTATCACTGAATTCTTTGCTCCCATTGGTTCCAATTCCCTATCATAATTTCCCAATTGGTCTCCTCTTTTGTTTCTGGGTGGAAATAAAATCGGATTGGGTCACAAGAAAGGCCAATCTTTGGTATTCAACTCAACACCATCTCTTGGTTCTGACCAAGAGATAGTGTTGCCACTTTGTCAAAATTAAAAATCTCATTTAATTAAGATATTTAGCACAAATTCATTGTAAAAGCTAATATTTTTGCCTATTTTAATAAATCATTCTCAGATAATGAATATACAAACATTGAACATAAACACAAATATACCAGAAATATCCATCAGAAATTATACTTACTAAAAATAAAGAAAAATCAAACATTTTCAACAATTTTTGAATCATAATCTTTTTTTGTTAAATTGTCAAAAACATTTGTTTTTTCTTTATTTTTAATAAATATAATCTGTGCTGGATATTTCTGATATATTTATGTGAGATAGCAGAAATTCCTATATTAGAACTAGTCTTTAATACTAACATGATTCGAGAGACATAACGATTGTTGTTCGTAGCTACCTGAGAAAGTCTCCCGTTACATTTTCTCGAAGACAACCTGACGCTTTCTCGCGAACTATTAACCTCTGCTTGGCCGAAATCGTCCGTGAATATCGCCAGAGACGGCCGAAAAGGGTCAGTCGCCGTTTTAGTCCTTGGAGAGGAAAGAAGTCGTCGCCCATTGTGTTTATCAACAACGTTTTTTTTTGTGTGTTAGTGCACGATAGAGCCTGGATAATTCAACGGGACATTTTGACTGGATATTTCACCCTTGGAAAAATCCTGGAAAAGCCTATAAGAAGAACTATTACCTTGTTCTCCAATTCAACATGACCCGATCAGGATATCTATTACCAAAGGTATTTATCACCACACGAACCTTATGTGAACTCTCTCTCTCCACGACAAAACTTTAACCAATTTATTTTTAATTAAATCCTTGTTAATTGTTAAGTGTAGTTGAGTCTCTTCCACATGCTATCTCTCAATCGGCTGACATTACGAATCTGTTTGACCACATAAGGGACTGCTCGCGCGTAATAATTATCGTCTCGGCTTCCGTGTTTCACTAAACACAGTGGTGTCAATCCTGACAGGGCACTAAAGAGGTGCCGACCCAAAAGGTCACATTTACATGCATTGGACTAAATCCAGTTTTAAGTAGTATGTATTTATTGAACATAACATGCTAATGTAAGACAATAACTGTCCTTAATTACATCCATTATAGGCCAACTAGCATTGATAAGATGGAGAAAAATATTTCAACCCATATATTCATGAAACATCATGAGGATTCAGATTTAAACCTAAATTTTTCATGTGTAAATTATTGTACATTTTCATATACAGGTATAAGACAAAATAATAGGAACACCCCTTTCGAAATGTGTTGTACTTCGACCATCCAATACAGCCCCACCACATGTCGCAATAGTCTGCTATCCAGTGGTGGTGAAAGGAAAGGTATCAGTTGAGCATTTAGCAGTGTGACAGTTGCATGAGAAAATTCTGTTCCCAGCAAAGCGCCATTATGTCTGACCTGTCCGATGTGCAAAGAGGCATGATTATTGGAGCTTGCCTCGCTGGAGCATCTGTGTCTAGAACAGCCAACTTTATGGGTATTTCAAAGTCCACTGTGTCAAGGTTTATGACAGTCTACACAAAACTGGGAAAGGTATCTTCTGCTAAGCAGAATAGTGGGCAAAAGTTGAAGTTGACCGACCAGGATAGACGAGTGTTGAAGAGGATAGTTGCCCAAAAACATAAGACTACACTGCAGCAGATAACCTCTGAGATGAACACCCTTCTCCAGAACCCCGTACCCACCAAAACTATTCAATGAGAGCTGCATGCTGCGAGCATTCATGGCTGAGTAGCCATCTCAAAACCGTTAGTGTTGCCACAGAATGCTATGAAATGACGACAGTGGTGTCAAGACCACCAAAACTGGACACAACAGCAATGGGAACAGGTCATCTGGTCTGACGAATCATCATTTACATTATTTCAGACCACTGGATGCGTGTTTGTGTGGCGAATACCGGCAGAGGCATTTCGTGTTGACTGTATGGTTCCTATTGTGAAGGATGCAGGGGCTCTGTGATGTTGTGGGGAGCAATATTGTGGCATGGCTTGGGGCTACTCATAGTCCTGAGGGAGAAGGTCAGAGGCATGCATTATCGTAGTATTCTCGCAGATCATTTACACACTATGCTTCATACTCTGTTTCCTGAGAATGTTCTCTATTCCAAGATGGCAACACCCCTGTACACATGGCTCGCTGTGTTCAAACATGGTTGGATGAGCATAATGATGAAGTGGAACATCTCGTGGTGTCTCAGTCCCCTGATCTCAACATCATTGAGCTTGTGGGGAATTTTTTAGAGAACAAAGTCCTTGCTTGGTTTCCTCCTCCATGCACATTATCTGAACTCGAGACCGCTCTGCAGGAGGAATGGCTGTGAATTCCCTTAAACTTTCTGCATGACCTTTATTTCTCAATTCCAGGTCTGATACAAGCTGTAATTCAGGCCAATGGTGGCCCAACTCCCTATTAATAAATATTTTGCATTCTTTCACAGGTGTTCCTATTATTTTGTCCTATACCTGTATGTTAAATAATTTAAACAATAAAATATGAATATATTCATACTTTATGTTTGGCATATGGATAATTGTGGGATAAGATATAAAAATTAAGAAAGAATTTGTAATAAACTTGTGCTTATTTATCATTATTTCTGTTAATTATTTTAAAAGCAATGGGAAAAGATACCATTATTAGTTGTTAAATATGATAATCCATAATTTTCTTAATCTTTATCAGTCAATATGTTATCTTTATTTTAAAAAATAGGTTTCTATCTTGAGTATTGTTCTGGAAAATGCTGGAAGTGGATTATATTCTTTAAGATCAATTAGGACATTGAGAGCATTACGACCTCTTCGTGCAATATCCCGTTGGCAAGGAATGAAGGTAAAAATACAATAATTAAACTATAATAAATAATTAATATTTTGTGTAAGATTTCAAAGTATATATAATATTTACTTTATATATTATTTTTCAGATTGTGGTTAATGCTTTAATGTCAGCTATTCCATCTATATGCAATGTCTTACTAGTTTGCATTGTATTTTGGCTGATTTTTAGTATTATGGGTGTGCAGTTTTTCAGTGGAAAGTTTTATAAATGTGTAGATGGAATGGATCATCGTCTTTCTCATCTTGAAATAAAAAATCGTAATGAATGCATTGCTCTAAATTTTACTTGGAAAAATTCAAAAATAAATTTTGATAATGTTGGAAATGCATATTTAGCTTTATTTCAAGTAGTAAGTGCCAATTAATATTTTTATTAAATTAAAACATTACAAAATTTATAAAATTTTGGAGAGGGTTAAGGTTTTCTTTTAAGGTTTAGGTAATACCATTTCTCTCACATATGTACTCATTGCCATAAAAATTAGCATACCAAGGAGTTGTCATATCACTGCAAAACTTGATGTGCAGATAAGTATCTAGCAGCTTTAGAAATAATTAGAGTTATAGTATGGTGGCTTATTTTGTAATGCCAGCAGAGAGCATTAAACTGCATCCCTCTTGGCCTATAAAAAAGGTGCACAAAGGCATTCTGTCTGTAGTTTACCTGCTGCAGGAGGATGCTGTATCACTAGAGATGCTTTTACATTGTAATTGAAGACAATATGAACAACTAACCAAATTTGAGAGGGAAAGGATCATCAGATTGAGAAAAGCCAAATGGTCATCTCGTGAAATAACAAGCCACCTAGGCCAATTCTGACAACACTGTGAGGAGTTGGGACCAGTGGATGAAAGAGAACTTGCAACATGGTGCCCACCCTCAGCAGACCATTAACTGAGAGGACCACCTGATCCTCTGACAAGCATGAACACAGCTGACTGTATCATTGTCCACCATCCAGATACAGATGGTGCCATCATTACAGGCCTCTGTGTCTGTCATACCATTTTGAGGTACTTGTCTGAGGAACATTTGCTATTGCAGTGGCCATTCCATATGCTTCCATTGACAGCAACACAATGTTGCCTCTGTTTGGAGTAGTATTGCTCCTGACGAGATTGGACCATGATGAATCCAGATTCAGTTTGGGCACTGACGATGGCCATGTTCATGTCTGGAGGCCCCCATGGTGAACACCTCAATCCTGTCTATGCTCTGGAGTGGCACACTGCCCCCACAACTGGTGTGTTGTCACATACAACAGCTGGTTCTCTCCAGTAGTGATCCAAGGGAGTACTATTAGAGAGCCCAGTGATATGTTAGTGACATCTTGCAGCCACATGTATTGCTTCTGATGGCAGGGCTCCCAAGACCCATTTCCAACAGGACAATGCTTGATTACACACAGCAAGAGTATCACAGAACTGCCTCTTCACATTGCCACACTTCTCTGGCCTGCCTGGTTTCCTTTGTCACTGATCAAACATGTCTGGGAACACATGGAATACCAAGTTGGACAGTCTAGGAGTTTGACCGAATTAGAGCAGCAATTGCCAACCTTTCTCACTTTATGGACCACTAAACACACAATTTTGTATCCCACAGACCACTATCATGAATTTTTTTTAAACAATACAAACATGTATAGAAAAATAATCATAAAAGTTCCATTTTACTTATTTTATTACTATAAAATTCACTTCTCAAATTATAACAAATAAGCAGCAACAAACTTTCCACTAAATTGAAATAAGTTTATGGATTATTGGCTCTTTTCCACAAAGGACAATTACACTCATTTATTGATTTATTGATGATTTATTTATAAGTCATTTCATGTTTGGTTTTAGATTCGGATAAAAAAACTCCCTATGAGTGAGAAAAAGCAACCAAGCATTTTGCATTTCTTTCATAATACTTTGCATAACCTTGAATTGATCGATGTCCAAATTTCTCCATGGACCACTTGCAGCAACTGTGGAATGAGATGCCACAGGATACCATAAAGCACCTGTATGCCTCCATGCCCAGCCATATCACATTGTGTATTCAAGCTAGAAGTGTCCCAAGAGGTTACTAGAACCTCCTTTCATTTGTTGTTTTTCTTCCAATAAATGATCCTTTTGTTTTCATTTTGTAATCACTTACTTATATCACTAACTCTCACACATGTACAGTTTCATTTAGCATGACAACTCCTTGGCATGCTAATTTTTATGGCAATGAATGTATATTGATAAAATTCCGACACTATAATATTGCTTTGTACGTGAAGGTATGAAGAAAATTCAATAAGTTTAATGTAAAAAGTAAATATTTACATTCATTTGTAAAGATTTTAATAAAAATAAAGTTTTATTTATTTGTCGAAATCATGTCTTCTTCTTGATCCTTCTAATTCAATGTCACGACTTGATGAATTTTTCAATACTTGGCAAATAATTTCATCATCCACTTTTAATTCCTACAGATATGCATTTCGGACTTTCACCCCTCTTCAGTCTGTTACATAGATAGGTTGTATCTTGTGTATACAGTATCTGTCAGGCACCTTCCGTACTTCCCACTTTCCTTCCCCCCCTCCCAACTTGACGACCTCCCCCGCATGTCTCGTAACTTGTAGCGTCTCACTCCCTGAGTGCCGCACACAGCCTTGCCTGCAACTGTATCAACATTCTATTTTAATAATTGTAGCCAGTTTTTATGAATGTCAATGCTTAGATTCTTGTTAATATTATTTTTGTCTGTAGTAATTTCGTAGCTTTCCTTGAATTTTCTTTTGTACTATTATAACATCATTCTTATCTATTTTGCAGTTTTGGTTGTACAATGTTCATAAAAAACAGAGTTGATTCTATTATACTTCAGGTCCGCGATGTGTTCTTTTAATCTTGTTTCTAATTTTCGTTTTGTTTCTCCAATGTATACTTTTGGTGGTTTGCATGTGCAAGGTATTTTGTAGACAACTTCGGTAGTGTTGTACAGTAGAGCGTCGTTTATCCGAAAGTCAATTATCCGAAAGTATTCCAGTCAGCAAATTTAAATTTTTGCCAGTGCTGTAGTGCTGCAATTTTTGGCTATGTCTTGGGCTACTCAAATATTTTACGTTTTTGATACTAAATTAACTTCTGAAGTATAATTTTTTATTGTTTTTATATTTTTCAATATATTTATTTTGTTTGTACAAAATAAAAAAATCATTTTTAACGATACAATAGTCTTCGTTAGACTTAACAACGACGAAAATTCAACGCAAAGCGACACGCAACGGCGTGGGATAGGCTAATATATTTTTTCGTACATAATCGGTTATCTGAAATATCGATTCTCCAAACAACCCCAGTCCCCAATTGATTCGGATAATCAACACTCTATTGTATTTGTCTGGTTCTTTATTTATGCCAGGTTCAGCCTTCCAGAATCTTTTTTTGCAAGTTGTTGTAGGTTGGGCTAGCTTTATATTTATTTTATCAAAACTTTTGTTTACCTGTTCAAAGAAGCCATGAATGTAGGTGAAGGATATGTATTTTACTCTGTTTTTATCTTTATTTTGTTTATTTTCCAGCCTTTTATTGTTGATTTTACTTTCCTAGTTATTTATTATTCGTTTCAGATAGCCGTTTAATAGGAATTTAGTTTGCAGTTTGTTGAGGTTACAGGCATAAAGTTCTATAAACAATATGTTGATGACCATTATACTATATGACCAAGAAATAACAAAATTAGAAATAGAAAAAAAAAATAAACAAATTAAACGATAACATCAAATTCAAGGTAGAAAATGAGGCAAACATGGAAATAAATTACCTTGACATTAAAATAACCAGAAAGGCAAACAAGACTGAATTCGAGCCATACACAAAACCATGCAAGATCAGGAAAGTGTTAAACTATAATTCAAACATTCCACAGTAGATAAAAGAAAACATATTCATCATGGAGTATAAAAAAAATCGAGAGCAGAACAAGCTCGCTACAGAAGAAGAAAAAACATCTCAACAAACTGCGAACTAAATTCCTATTAAATGGCTATCTGAAACGAATAATAAATAACTGGGAAAGTAAAATCAACAATAAAAGGCTGGAAAATAAACAAAAAAAAGATAAAAACAGAGTAAGATACATATCCTTCCCCTACATTCGTGGCTTCTTTGAACAGGTAAACAGAAGTTTTGATAAAATAAATATAAAACTAGCCCCAACCTACAACAACTTGCAAAAAAGAATCCAGAAGGCTGAACCTGGCATAAATAAAGAACCAGACAAATACAACACTACCAAAGTCGTCTATAAAATACCTTGCACATGCGAACTGCCAAAAGTATACATTGGAGAAACAAAATGAAAATTAGAAACAAGATTAAAAGAACACATTGCAGACCTGAAGTATAATAGAATCAACTCTGTTTTTTACGAACATTGTATGACCACAACTGCAAAATAGATAAGAATGATGTTATAATACTATACAAAGGAAAAAAATTGGTACAAAAGAAAATTCAAGGAAAGCTATGAAATTACTACAGACAAAAATAATATTAACAAGAATCTAAGCATTGACATTCATAAAAACTGGCTACAATTATTAAAATAGAATGTTGATACAGTCGCAGGCGAGGCTGTGTGCGGCACTCGGGGAGTGAGATGTTACAAGTTACGAGGCATGCGGGGGAGGTCGTCAAGTTGGGAGGGAAGGGAAGCGGAGTGGGAATTACGGAAGGTGCCTGACAGATACTGTATACACAAGATACAACCTATCTAGTTGACATTGAGATAAAGAGGTAAGAGAGCTATCCGTTTTATGTAGCTACGGACTTTGCTCTGTGGGAAGTAGAAGAAAGGAGAAAGCATGAGATCGAAGTGTGAAAAGAAAGGGAGAGAGAATAGTGTGAAGAGAAGGCATGGGAGGCACCATGGGTGCCTGCATTGCATTCGTTACAATGATTTTACAGATTACATGAGAAAAATACATAGCTAAGTTTGATACAAACAAGGTTACAAATACGTATTTACAGATTCAGATAATAACAATTGGTTACATTATTAATATTTACAATACAGAAGCTGCTGTGGTATACATTTCAATGCCGAAGAATTTTACATATACAGTACTACAATTTCCATACATACACAAGTGGTAGTAAATACAATAATCGTGCGTTACATTATTAATCCATTGGTGGCCTCGTTAGGCTGTGGGATAGTATGTTGTTGGTGGTCCTACTGCTGAAGCTGCTAGCGTTCAGGGTCTTTGTCTTGTGCACAAATTCAGTTAGACTTTTCCACAGTTTTCTGTTGTTGAAAACGTCTGGTGGATTCGGTGGCCAGTTCTGGCCTTCGGTAAGGCATTTTCCCATGAATTGGAGCCTTTCGTTGTCGTGTTTTGGGCAGTTGTAGAGGAAGTGCTCTTCAGTTGCTTCGCTGGTGTTGTCACAGTCGCAAATATTGTTATTTGTTTTGCCGAATCGATGTAGGTAAGCAGCAAAGTTACCGTGTCCGGTAAGAATCTGCGTGGTTTCGGCTTCTGGAGTGTAGTGGTTGGCTTTGAACCTTTGGGTGATAGAAGGGATGTAGGTGTAGGTTTTCCTTCCTGTATTTGCATGGTCCCACTCATTTTGCCAGTCTGTAAGAGCGATGCTGGCTAGCTGCTTCTTCACCCAAGTATGGGGAAGTTTCCCATAGGATGGGTCCTATCTAGGTAACAGACTGAAGAGGGGCGAAAGCCTGAAATGCGTATCTGTAGGAATTAAAAGTGGATGATGAAATTATTTGCCAAGTGTCGAAAAATGCACCAAGTCGTGACATTGAATTAGAAGGAAAAATAAAGTTCACGTGATATAGGTTCTGGCTAGCTTTGTTGGTTTATAGTACTGTACTTAAGATTTTTTATTTACTTTGTAAATACATAAATCACTTAATTTATAATTTTTTTTCTAGGCTAGTTTTGAAGGTTGGACAGAAACAATAGCAGATGCCACAGATAGCACAGATATTGACTGGCAACCATTTCATGAGGCCAATTTTTTAGCTTATTTATATTTTGTTATTTTCATTATTTTTGGCTCTTTTTTCACATTAAATTTGTTTATTGGAGTAATAATAGATAATTTCAATATGCTGAAAAAAAAGGTAATAAATTTTTTAAATGCCACTTGTAATTTAAATATTTAAAAAATTTTTTTTAAATTTATTTTTAGTATGAAGGAGGAATTCTTGAAATGTTTTTAACAGATAGTCAAAGAACATACTACACAGCAATGCAAAAACTTGGACAGAGAAAACCTCAGCGTATTATACCAAGACCATTTAATAAGTATTTAGCTATTATTTATGATGTAGCTGTAAGTCGCAGGTTAGTTAGGCTTTTGCTAGCTAAATTGTTATTGTTAATTTAAGAATATTTACTGATGACAAAAATCTGTATTCCAGGTTTGAAATGATTATATTTTTAATCATAGTTATCAATTTGATTGTTATGTCTTTTGAACATTATAAACAGTCTGAAAATACAACCATGATTTTGGAATATATGAATATAATTTTTACAACTTGTTTTACATTAGAAGCTATTATCAAGATAACTGGACTTGGATATCATTATTTTAGAATGCCTTGGAATATATTTGACTTTTGTATTGTTATTGCTTCAATAATTGGTAAGTTGTCAATAATTTACATTTAATTTATTGGTATAAATCAAATAATTAAGTTACTATTTTCTTGCTAGATGATTATATTTTAATAAACTAATTAAAACTGCCTTATATAATATATTTGATGAATAATGTTAAAATACATAAAATATATATGTTGATTTACAAGTATATAAAAAAAGCTCTCTGTAATTTTTATACTATTGAAACAACTTTTTAACGAGTTAGTGTTAAACTTCTACATTTTTTCTTTATCAAATCTTATTTATTTGCTATTGGAGAAAAAATTCCAAAAATTTTTATTGTAATTTATGTTTTAACTTTATTTTGTAAAGAAATGAATCATTGATCATGATTTATACATCAAGGAGAACTTTTAAGATCACTTTAAGATTTATAAATCAGATTTATTATTCTCCAATTCATCTTATATAAAGTCCCTTGTATTTATTCTTTGACTAATCTCCCATTTTACATAAAATATTTTTGTTATTGATATTACCATTTGGACAGATTTTGAGATCAATTCAATTCATCTTACATGTTTGATTATATTAGGCTCTAATTCAAGTTCAAAATGGAACAGAATTAAATATTGAGATAATGATATCAATTCTTATTTTTCAGCAGAATTGTAACTGGCTATAGAAATTTAAACTACTCATTTAAATATTACTCAATATTTTATTTCTGTCACATATACAAGACAAACTTTTGGGTGCAAATGCAAGGATTTGATTAATCCAACATTGGTGTGTTGGCTTCTTTTATGTTTTTTCACATCAATTCCAGATTCTTAATTTTGAGATTATTTGCATTGATATAATGCTCCTACTGTCCTTAATTTCCTTCTACTGTATTTTTGCAGATTGTCTATCCAGGGAGACCTTGAAATCATATTTCCTTATGGTAAAAACCAGCATGCCAGTTGAAGGTTTATATTAATACATCTCTCTTCAAAAGGCATGTAAAAAAATGAATGAGTTTTTATTTTAAAACTGTAAACTGTCAGCATTACATCAAAAACTATAAATATATGTTTAATTTCTGCATTTTGTATTTTTTCTAACACTGTAAAATACTGATGGAATGCCAAACATATAATTTACAGCAATTTTCTGAAATTTGATCTCAACTTACACCAATTAACATTCCCTTTGTGTGAAATTTGAAAGGAAGATGTTATTTTTAAGATCAGGGTAGATAGTTAGCACAAGCTGCACTGACAAACTACTACTACAACTAATGTCAATAAGCTGCTAATTGTTTTATTGTACTGTAAAGGAAAACTTTCTTCCTGATTTTAAGTCAGTCAAATTACAATGTTATTACTTTATTGTACTCCAAAGAATGTTTTCTTTAACATTTATTTAGCATTTAGTTTTCTTACATCTGATTAATTTTATTTTTTAGTCAATTTCACCAGCATGCCAGTAACCCCAGGGTTTCCGTCATGCTGGTCAATCTGCAAAAATACAGTACTTTCCTAAAAGAATCAAAATTAAATTTTTATGGATATTAATTAATTTTTGCCTGACATAATTGTTATTAGAATAAATAAACTGTGTTGTGACGTGTTTTTAACTCCACTGCATCAAATATGTTGCAGTTTGGGTACTTAAATTTTTATGGCATTGAATGCCATAGGGCCTGAAATCCACAAACTATCAAAGTTTCTTGAAAATACACTGTAATGTATTTATTAAATAAAGCAACTCAAGTGACACCAATGTGAAATGGGAGGAAGAATAAACAAAACATTTGTGATGTAAAGTTGATATCTTTAAATTAAAGTGAACCTGATAAATACTTGTATGGATAACACAATATTTGGAAAAGAACAAAATAAATGTTATAGGTCAAGCTTCTTACCTTGGCAGTTGGTTGATGAATACAAATTTTGTGAAACTGTCAGAAAATCATTTTTTCTTTAGTCAAGTCCAAATTTTTAAATTATTTTTGGGGTTTTTATTTAGTTCTTATTATTGTTTTGGGGACATTTTAGTTTGTTAAAGGATAAAAGTTCCACACCCAACCCAAAAAAGAAAAATTTAAATGTGAAAAATAATACTCTGACACCCATATTGCTATCTCACCAGTGTAAATCTACCATGGCATCTCAGATTGAGTGATTTCCGTATAGGAATTAAAGAATGGTCACTTAATCTCAATTATAACTGATTCTAAAAATCAAAATTAATTTTTTGAAAAGATTGTTAAAAACAAATGTCCAAAGTATTGCAAAAGAAAAAATAGACAATTGTTAGTATAAGTATTTAAATGAGTTAGTGGCACAACTGTTTGTTACTCACACTAGGGAGTATAAAAGACTCGACAAAATCAAAGAAAGACAAGGTAAAGCTCCTAAGCAAGTGAGGTGAAATGGTCCATATGTTCTCAACACCTAAAATACTACTGTACAGTACATGCAAGTATTGATGAGGTTCCTTTCTACTTATTGTATGAGAGAAATTCCATGTATCCCTTTGACATAGTCACTGCACCAAATACTATTATATGACTGACAAAAATTACATGAGTGAATTAAAATTATGATTAGCTGTTACTATGGTTCATGGTTTATAATGGTTCAGGAGCATGCACAGAAAACAGTGAATTATCATAAAATGTACTAACAGCATAGGAATAAACCATACAAGTTTGCTGTAGGTCAGTGTTTTTCAACCTTCTTGAATATGCAACCCCTTTACAAGTTAAAAAATTCTGGCGACTCACCTAGGGCCATATTAAAACTATATCAGTGATTTTAAAAACTATGTATTTAATTTTTTTTCTGTTGAGACAAATTATTGTTGATTAAAATGAAAATTTCAGAAGAATCGACAATAATTTCACACACATAAAATATGAAACTTCCTTTAATTATAACATTAGGCACAGGGAACTGTTGGCCTTTTTTTTTGTTTTTTAGGATCTGAATTTTCAGCTTCTACTTTTTATTTCTTTTTGCAAATCAGCTCAACACTTTTTCCACTATCATTTTCTGAGGTGGGCTGTAATTCTCGCTGAAATTGTAGTTTTTTTTTAATGTAGTATAGGACCTACAAACACTTGTCTTTTTCTTCTACCAGCGACCCCCCATGTAAGGCTTTGTGACCCCCTGGGGGTTGCGACCCACAGGTTGAAAAACAACTGCTATAGGTGATTGGGTGTTTATAAGAGAGAGAACCATTACGCCAGGCTTGAAGTGTAAGTTGGCTCCATATTGGTCAGGCTCTTTTAGAATTACGGCAGAAATGAACCCAGTAAATTTTGAAGTTTGGCATATACATACTGGAAAGAAATTGCATGTACACATGAACCAATTAAAATCTGCAGTCATGCTATTAGTTTGCAAACTCCATGTTGAAAAAAACAAATTTCAATGCAAATGATTGTAATTAACCACAAGCTCCTACTGAAAAGCAATCCTCAGAACAGGTTGATCCTTGGAATGAGGTTATTCTGATCTTGATTCCACTGGATCAGGGCAAAATGGCAATTGAAGTAGAACACCATTTACAAATTTGTGACTGTCATGTGGTTATGTTCTCCAAAGCCAGGGTCTTATAAGTAAGCAACCTTGGGTGTTGCTGATAACCAGTTGGCCTAAGCAAACAAATGCTGGGAAGAATTTAAACATGCAAATTGATACTGGGATATACTCAGATGCAGATGCAAGAGTAATGGCTAATGTTATGACACTTTAAGGACAAGGTTAAGGTGATCCCTTGGAATTATTTCACATGTATTATTTTCACATTTTTATATCAACCTAATAAATTATGCACATATGTCAAGTACTGCTCTCATAACAGAAAAAAAAATTAAATTTGTAATAATGGAAAGGAGAGAAGAGAGAGGGAAATTTCCTTTTTTCCTATGTGATAGGATCCACAAAGAACCAACCTACATTGGCCAGAAGTAAACCAAAGAGTGCTAATACACTTATTGCCAAAATCCAAGAAAAAGGCACTGGTGCATTTAACTCACTGATCACCTAGCAGAAAGATATGCAAGAGCAGATGCAGCTAAACGTTAGATGCTGGTGCAGATGCGAATGCTCCAGGTGAAGCCATTAGAGCTCCATTGCACACAGCTGTAACAGTTGCAAGCAAGGTGTTTCAATTATTATTAAGGTACAGAATTACCAATCTTAATGCACCTGTTAAGTGGCACAACTCCTCTTATTTTGGCAGCCAGATTAGCTATTGAAAGAATATGAAAGACAATGAAAGTGCAAATTAACTTGATGACTGTGGTTAACTTCTTTTCATCAGGCTTCAACTCTCAATAAGGTAGATGCAGTAAATGTATTATTGATACATGGTTCAAACAGAGATTCACAAAATATCAGAAATAGGTGTTTTCCTTTTGTTAAGAGGAGAAAGGTATACAACCCTAGCTATGGAAAGCACTTGATCTTCTGAAATGTAGGTCATAGGACCTCACATAAAAACTTGAAGTAGTGTGTAAAACTCCAGCAGTTGTGGTCAATTGAAAAATGAATCAGCTGACACATTGCACAGCCATTAGCATTTTAAAATAAGTTTCTGAGGTATTTTGGAAGAGAATGCAAATAGTATGATCATGACCATTCTTTCTTTTTGAGAGGAAAAAGAGAATGAAACTCATAGAATAAATATTAATGATGCAAAAAATAGAATATTTGGCCAGGAGCATGGCGAATAGCTGAATATTCAGCCAAACTATTCGGCTTGATTAATGCATGTATGAAAATTGGTGCGCAAACTGCATTATGGAAAGGATCGCACACCCTGCCTTCTGTTGGCCTGCTGTCACTACACTTTGCCAATCGCGTTAATTCTTGACAGTTGTAGCAGACAGACACGAGTGTCATCGCAGTATGTGATAAGTGACTATATCAAATGTGGATAACAATGAAATGACCTACATTTTTGTAAATAACATGTGTAAATAATGGAAAAAGAAGAGCGAAGGACCGCAAAGTGAAAGTAAATATGAAATTGAGTTGATAACAT